AAAAATCAATAAATAAAAATGTTTTTAAAATAAGGAATAGCCTTGACTGGTGTAGCTCAGTGATTGAGTGTGGGCCTGCAAACCAAAGGGTCACCAGTTCAATTCCCAGTCAGGGCACATGCCTGGGTTGAGGGGCTGTGTCCCCAGTAGGGGGCACGTGAGAGGCAACCACACATTGATGATTCTCTCCTTCTCTTTCTCCTTCCCTTTCCCTCTCTCTAAAAACAAACAAATAATCTTTTTAAAAATAAGGAATAAACAAATAGAAGATCAAAAGGAAAGAGGACTTTAAACAATAAAAAGGGTCCTAAAATATATATACAGAGTATTCCATCCAACAAGAACATAATATGTGCCCTGGCTGGCATAGCTCAGTGAATTGAGCGTGGGCTGCGAACCAGTGTCGCAGGTTCAATTCCCAGTCAAGGTACATGCCTGGGTTGCAGGCCATGACCCCCAGCAACCACACATCGATGTTTCTCTCTCTCTTTCTCCCTCCCTTCCCTCTCTGAAAATAAATAAATAAAATCTTAAAAGAAAAGAACATAATACACATTCTTCTGAAGTACACATGGAACATTCTACTGGATAGACCATATATTAAGGCACAAAATAAGTCCTAATAAAATTTAAAAGATTGAAATCATACAAAGTATCTTCTCTGACCACACTGTAATGAAACTAAAAATCAATAACTGAAGGAAAAGTGGAAAACTTACAAGTAGATGGAAATTAAACAACATACCATTAAGCAACCAATAGGTTAAAGAAGAAATCAAAAGTTAAAAAATACTTTGACATGAATGAAACCTAAAATGTAACATAACAAAACCCATCACACAGCAAAAGCAATCCTCAGAAATTTATAGCTGTGTATGTCTATGTTAAAAAAGAGGAAAGATCTCAAATCAATAACCTCTTGCTTTAAGGAACTAGAAAGAGAAAAGAAAACTAAACCCAAAGATAGCAAAAGGAAGGAGATAAATTAAGATTAAAACAGAAATAATGAAACAAGGAATAGAAAATTAATGAAATCAAAGTTGGTTCTTTGAAAAGTAAAACAAAATTGGCAAATCTTTAGCTAGATGGACTAAGAAAAAAGAGAAAAGACACAACTTACTAAAATCAGAAGTGAAAGGGCATAATTACTACTGACCTTAGAGAAATAAAAAAGATTAAGACACTACTATGAATAATGATAATATATTAACAAACCACATAACCTAGATGAAATGAATAAATTCCTAAACACACACAAACTACCCAGATTGACTCAAGAAGACACAGGAAATCTGAATAGACCTCTAACAAATAAAGCTACGGAATCAGTAATCGAAACCTCCCAACAAAGGAAAGACCAGAACCAGATGGATTCACTGGTGAACTCTACCAAGATTCTAAAGTAGAATTAACACCAATCCTTCACAAATTTTTCAAAAAAAAAAATAGGAAAGGGAATACACTTCCAGATTCTGTGAGGCCAGCATTACTATGATTCTAAAGCACAATAGAGGCATCACAAGAACACTATAGACCTATATCTCTCTCATGAATACACATGCAAAAAAATACTAGCAAACCAAATCCAACAGCATATTAAGGCAATTATACCTCATGAGCATTTGTTATTTATCTCAGGATTGCAAGGAGATTCAACATATGAAATCACTCAGTGTAATATACCTTATTAATAGAATGAAGGAAAACAACTAGCAGCATCCCAACTGAAGTATAAAAAAGCGTATGATAAAATCCAAAAACCTTTCATGCTAAAAACACGTAGCAAACTAAGGATAGAATACACATATGAAAACCCCACAGCTAACATCATACATAATGGTGAAAAATGGAAAGTTTTCCCCCTAAGATCAGGAACAGGACAATAATGTCTGCTTTTGCCACTTTTATTTGACATTCTACTAGAAATTCTCATCAGAGCAATTAGTCAAAAAAATAAACAAAATGCCCCTGGCTGGCATAGCTCAGTGGATTGAGCACGGGCTGGGAACCAAAGTGTCCCAGGTTCGATTCCCAGCCAGGGCACATACCTGGGCTGCAGGCCAGGGCTCTGGTTGTGGACATGCAAGAGGCAACCTATCCATGTTTCTCTCACACACTGATGTTTTTCTCCCTCTCTTTATCCCTCCCTTCCCCTCTATAATAAATAAATATAATTCTAAAAAAGAATAAAATGCTTAGAAATAAATGTAACCAAAGAGGTACAAGATTTGTACACTGTAAACTATATGACACCAAAAGCATAAGTACCAAAAGAAAAAAATCAATAAATTGCCCTGGCTGGCGTAACTCAGTGGATTGAGCGTGGGCTGCGAACCAAAGTGTTGCAGGTTCGATTCCCAGCCAGGGTACATGCTTGGGTTGCAGGCCATAACCCCCAGCAACCGCACATTGATGTTTCTCTGTTTCTCTCTCTCTCTCTGTTTCTCTCTCTCTCTCTCTCTCTCTCTCTCTCTCTCTCTCTCTCTCTCTCTCTAGTGAATAAATAAAAAAAAATCAATAAATTGAACTTCATCAAAATATCACATGATCTCACCTGTAAGTGGAAACTAATCAACCAAACAAACAAGCAAGCAAAATATAACCAGAGACATTGAAATTAAGAACAAACTGACAGTAATGAAAGGGAAAGGGGAAGGAGAAGGTAAATAACAGTGGAGAGGGGAAGGGTCATCAAGGAACATGTATAAAGGACTCATGGACAAAGCCAAAGGGGGATAGGATTGAGGGTGGGAGGTGGGGGTGGGTTGGGCAGGGGAAAGTGGTGGTGGGAAAATGGAGGCAACTGTATTCGAACAACAATAAAAAATGATTTAAAATGTTTATAATTTTGACCAATATGTTCTCTTGATAGAGTTAAAAGACAACTAATGGAGTAGGAGGAAATATTTGCACATCATATATCTGGTAAGGGGCTGGTACCCAGAATATATAAAGAACTCTTACAACTCAACAACAGCAAAAAAAAAACCACACACACACACACAAGAAAAACACCCAATTTAAAAATGGGCAAAGAACTTGAGTAGACATTTCCCTAAAGAAGATATACAAATAGTCAATAAACACATGAAAAGATGCTTAACACTACTAATCAGTAGGGAAATGCAAATCAAAACCACAATGAGATATCACTTCACACCCACTAGAATGACTATTTAAAAAAAAATAAAAAATAACAAGTGTTGGTCAGCACTTGGAGATATTGGAACCCTCATACATAGTTGGTGGGAATATAAGGGGTAGAGCTGCTAGGGAAAACATTTTGATGTCTCCTCAAAAAGTTAAACACAGAATTACCATATGACCCAGCAATTCTACTCCCAAGTATATATTCAAAAGAATTGAAAACAGGTGTTCAAACAAACACTTATACATGAATATTCATCAGCACTAATTACAATAACCAACATGTAGATAAGAACCAAATGTTCATCAATAGGTGTAGAACTAAACAAGACATAGTACATCCATACAATGAAGTATTATTCAGCTTTAAAAAGGACTGAAGTACCGATATGTGTTATAACATGGATGAAGTTTTAAAACATTATGCTAGCCTTGCCTGGATGGCAAGCCCTTAGGCTCCAGGCCGAATCCCCAGGTCTCTGGTTGGGGTGCATACAGAAGGCATGCAATGTTTCTGTCACATCAATGTCTCTGTCTCTGTCTCTGTTTCTGTCTCTGTCTCTCAAAAACAATAAATATGTCTATCTTTAGGTGAGGATTAAAAGAAATATTAAGTTAAACAAGCCAAACACAAAAGGCCATGTACTATATGATGACATTTATATGAAGTATGCAGAATAGATAAATCCAGAGAGGAGGGAGGAATGATGAGTGACTGCTTAATAGGTTTGTGGCTTCCATTTGGAGGGGAAAAAAACTATTTTAGAACTAGATAGTGAGGATGGTTGCCAATATTGTGAATGTACTTAAAGCCACTGAATCATACACTTTAATATGCAAAAGTACATGTTACATGAAATATTACCACAATAAAAATGTCACCTAATTCAATCCTTCCACCAATTCACACTGTCCCAATTCATCTGTTTTAGTGGTATTCTGCAGAAAACACGGTCATAGACTAAATCCACAAATCAGTGAGCATCCATCTCCACTACCACCAGCCTGCGCTTTACCTTTGGTCCTAACCTAATTGTTTTCTTTTCTTTTTTTTTTTTTTTTTTTTTGTGGGGAAGAGGTTGACATATCTAACTGAAGGCTGCTTCCCTTCCATAGAATTTTTTAACATTTCAAACAGAGGGGTTTTTTTGCTGACTGGCCAATTATCTTCATTATAAATTACATTTCTGTTTATTTTTTGGTTCCTAATGTTAATCGTTCAAAATTCTACTTCACTCTAAAAGCCCTCTCAAGTTCAATAACAACCAATTAAAATAACCACACATTAGTTTGAAACTCAAAATGTTGATATGGGTACAATCTATTTGTATTCCAATTGTTGATGCATATTTTTGGTTGACAAACCTAAATGTATGAATACACATGCATGTCCTCTCATGTGTCAAATGATTTCTTCATATGGATATATGTCTCTCAAGCAATTCTTCATGCCCTATTGAGATTTCAGCATTTAAAACTATAGAGGTTTTACTTCCATAAGAATATCCATTGTTTTCTTCCTGAAATAACTGAAAACATCTGGAAACTATTTTTTGTTCAGATACTGCCTTCCATTGCTTACAAAATGAAGACATTATTTGGCTTTTAGAATTCGACATAAAATGTAAACCAACATGCAATCAAAAGCCAAGAATGGCATCTCCTTCCCCAAATATCTCCCTAGTATTAGCAGGAAAAAATATCCTGCTAAAAAATCTCCTTCCCCAAATATCTCCCTATAGCAGGAAAAAAGAAAACTCAAGAAGAAACTATGCCTCCTACTTGTGCTCCACTTAACCACCCCCCATCCCTGCCCCCAGCAACTTGCCACTTAGGATGGGACTGACACTCACCTTCAATGACAAGATCTTCTGTGATAAAGCCTTTCGTGGGGTCTTAGGTGGCTGAGCACCAACAGAGATTTTTTCAAAGTCCTTACAGATTGTCTCAGATCCTGTAACAGGTGGACGTATGCTGGGTTGCTGTGAGCGCATTGGTGGGATCTGTTAAGGAGGAGTATAAAAAGGAAAAGTTAAAATGTGTGCTTTCCTCCAAATTATGAGTGTGCTCTTGTTGCTTGTGAGATGTGGCTATCTGGGATCTTTTGTGGTTTCATATAAATTTTTGGAATATTCTAGATCTGTGAAATATGCTATTAGTATTTTAATAGGAAATGCATTGAATCTATAGATTGCTTTGGGTAATATAGAAATTTTAATGATGTTAATTTTTCCTATCCATGAACATGGTACATGCTTCCACACTTATTTGTATCTTTCTCAATTTCTTTCTTTAGCATCTTATAATTCTCCTGTAAAAGTACAGGTCTTTTACCTCCTTAGTTAAAGTTATTGTTTTTTTGTTGTTGTTGTTGTTGTTGCAATAGGAAATGGGATTGTTTTCTTTTTAGATTTTATTTATTTTTGGAGAGAGGGAAAGGGAGGGAGAAAGAGAGGGAGATAGACATCAATTGATTGCCTCTCACACACCCTCTCACACAAGCTTTGGGTTTAGTTTGCCCTTCTCTTTCTTGGATCTTAAGGTAGAGATTGGTTGTTGATTTCAGATCTTTTACACTGCCAGGGAAGGAATAGTCCCCACAGACGTATTTTAATTTGAACCTTACAACACTTCTTTTAAGCCAGGAGTGTCAAACTCCTTTTCACTGAGGGCCAAATCAGCCTTGCAGCTGCCTTCAAAGGGCTGAATGTAATGTTAGGACTGTATAAATATAACTACTCCTTAACTAGGGACAAGGAGCTCAGCGCTGGCACCAGGTAGAAACAAGGTGCTGGGCTGGATAAAACAAGATGGAGGGCCAGATTTGGCCTGCAGGCCTTGTGTTTGCCACCTGTGTTTTAAGCATTCATTCTTGTGGTCTCCATTTTACAGATGGGGAAAACCAGGTTTGAGAAATTACATAACTGGCCCTAATTCTCACAGTGGCAGAGCAAGAATTTGAAAGTTCTGTTTGCCTTTATAATCCATGTTCAAGAGGCACACTGTGTGCTCTTGTCTGTCTCCTAAGTATACGGGCCAGGAAAGTGATGTTCCATACTCAAGTTCAGGAAATTTAAAGGCAACAATCAGAAGAAGTGTGCCTGCTTCCTTAAGAAGGGCTGTAGAGGGAGAGTTGAGCTTGTGAGTAGTAAGAAACATTGCTTTGCAGTCTCAGTTTCTTAAATTACTGAGTTCATTTTTATTCAACAACAAAATTGCTAATAATCTATTATATCTTCTTATCTATTTATCCTCAGATAAAAATAACATGAGCCTTGGCTGATGTGGCTCAGTGGATTGAGCTCTGGCCTATGGGCTGAAGGGTTGCCAGTTCAATTCCTGATCAGGACACATGCCTGGGTTGCAGGCCAGGTCCCCAACTGGGGGTGTGAAGGAGACAACCAATCAATGTTTCTCTCATACATTGGCGTTTCTCTCCCTCTCTTTCTCCCTTCTTTCCCCTCTCTAAAAATAAATAAATAAGGTTGTTTTTTCTTAAAGAAAAGCTATTAGCCCTGGCTGGTGTGGCTCAGTGGATTGAGTGCAGGCCTGTGAACCAAGGGGTCACCAGTTCGATTCCCAGTGAGGGCACATGCCTGGGTTGTGGGCCAGATCCCCAGTTGGGGGCATGTTAGAGGCAACCACACATTGATGTTTCTGTCCCTCTCTTTCTCTCTCCCTTCCCTCTTTCTAAAAATAAATAAATATTTTTAGAAATAAAATTAAATTAAAAAATAAAGCTATTAAAAATAACATGATGGGGAAGGCTGGGTGGGTGGGCTGGGATGGGAGCAAAATACAGAAAACTGTACTTGAACAATTAAAATATTTTTTTTTAAAAAAAACAACAAAAAAATAACATGAAATGTCTTAGAGAGTAATCTAGGCACCCAGATTCCTAAAACTTCAGATAGGACATCAGGTGAAAATCTAGCACGGGATAAAAACTAGCTCAGTCTTGGTATTTCTAACAGAACAGTGTACCTTAATTTCCTCTCCCATGACTTCCCAGTTGCTCACTTAATCCATTAAGAATCTTCATATTTTCCCAGCTTTTTCTTTTCATACTTTCCCAGTGTTTATGCAGTAGTGGGTGTGAGCACCCTTGATTTACCTTATCAACTACCTTATCATTTGGGTTGTCACCTCGGTACTTAAGGGAAGTTTCCCATGCAAAAGTCAATCTGGTTGTTGACGACTCAGATTCAGTTAACACTCTAAGATGTCTTAAGCCCTGTTTCCCAGGCCATGGACTAAATGAGTAGGCCAACGGTATAAGGTGTGGGCCCAAAGAAGATATTTAATACAACTTGCCTTTGGGTTTTACCCACCTCTTCATTGTGAGAGGATATGACCCTAGAATCTTTTTCCTTTAATTTTCACATTAAAAACAACCTTTTTAAAAAACTGACTATCTGCTATGAGTCTCCCTCTTGCCGGGAATTGAGAGAAAAGGAAGAAAGAGAGGAACCCAACAAACACATTTCTCCTTTATGAATATGAGAAATAACCCTGTATAGTCATGTAGACCTGGATTTTGGACACTTGATGGCAAGGGTGTATAGCTATAGAGACAAGCAAAAGCTGCTATTGATATTTAAAACTGGACTGGAAAGTTCATGGAAGTGACTTTTCCTACTGTAGTGCAAGAGGGAAACAGTTTGCTGTCCAAGGATTTGCTTTACAACCACAAGATCAGCACCACTGCCAACCATTTCAGTGTTTGCTTCTCCATCCTTTATGGCTAATGTAGACAGCAGAACTTCTGTGCACAGTACATAAAAGAGTGAGAGATATGGGGTCTTAAGCAGGCTTATCAAAAATAAATTCAAGTAATCTTTTTCCAAATGCAAAATAATCAGCTCTTCGGTGGAGAAAGCTCTCTTCTCTGTGTGGCCTTTCCAGTTACACAGGTATAAATCTTTGGGTATAAAGCTGAGATAAGGAGGAAGGTAGCTAGTAAGAGTTACATCACTGGTAGTATCTCCAGCTTTCCCTAGAGCATTTCTAGATCAGAACTCCAGAAAATTGACTGAGCAATAGTTAGGATTAGCTGGAGGTAAGGCTGTGCTATATACATTCAGAATTTTATGGAAGCTAAAGCTGTACCCTTCTCCCCATTGAAGTAGGTATAGAGAAGTTGAAATCTGAGGGACTGTGGTAATGGAAAGACCATAGGTTTTAAAGTCAACACAACTGGGTCAGTTTTCCAGGTCTATCACTTACTATCAGTGAGCTTAAGCAATTTTTTTACCCTCTGTGAGTCTTCATTCACTTGTCACAAGAAACTCTTTGAGTTAGATGAGGAAATGAAAGCTCAGGGAAATTAAGCAGTCAATCCAAGGTTACAGAGCCAATAAGTATCATAGCAAGATTTCAAGCATATGTCTATCCATATGACTCAGCTCTCCTATTTTGAACAATTACACTCTATTACCTCAGTGATCTTGGAGCCTGAAACCCAGATTCCACTTCTGGACACATAATGGGGTACAACTTCATGCAGAGTTCCAGAAACAGCTCTAGACATACCACCAGCGCTAGATAGAGTTCTAGAAACATGAGATCTCTGTGGAAGACAGAAAGAAAAAACATGAGGGTTGGAATGCTTGCACATCAACAGCGGGCTGTCACTGTCATAATACTTAAAGCATTCTTGGGTATCTCAGAAGAAATGAATATGGTAATACCAGCCAACACTATGTTCCAGACACCAGGTAAGTACATCATATATTTGTGCATTCTCTCATTCAATGTTTACAACAGCCCTGTGGGGATAGAATCAACTAAGAAGTAGGGCTAAATTCTCCCTTCCTTCTCTTCTGGTGGGTTAGGAATAGGAAATGGAAGAAGAGTAGTCCAATTAGGCACTGATGTTCGAGTTCACTATTACCTCCAGAGATCTGCCCCTCTGGAGCTCTGGAGAAGGGTTCATTTTACTTGCTGGCATTTCAGGCTCAGGATCCAACATGAAGGTGCTTTCATGGGACAGGGATTTGGTCTCCATGTTTCCCTTAACCCTGGAAAGGAAGGAAAAGGTCTTGTAAAAGCAGCCATAGAAACCAAAAAGACACATGTATATCTATAATATGGCCTACCAAAGACATCACAGAGCAGAGTGGAGATAAATATGTGCTGATAGAAAGTTGTTTATGAGATATTAAATGAAAAAAATAAGGAGTAGTACTGTCCCATTTAATATACACATATATATTACATATATATATCATTTATGTTTATAAAAAAACGTCTGAAAGGGTAGTCACCAAATTCTTAGTGATGGTTTCCTCTGAGGAATGGGACTAGGGACAAGAAGGGGATTTTATTTTTCTACTTTTGTACTTTTGTATAATTTTGATTTTTAAAATGGTCAACACATCTTTTTATATAATATTGTTATTGAGATATGGTTTACATACAATTAAGCCATTTAAAATATACAATTCAATAGTGGCAACCCTGCAAAATGTGAGGGAAGATACTAAATCTTGCTATTATTAAGGTGAGAGTCATAAAAGACCTTTTACACCCAAATTTCTCTGTAGTGTTTTTGTTGTGATTTGTTATAAAATATCAGGTATCTGCCCAGGTGCTGGATACTTTCATTCACCAGGGTTTTTTTCTCTTTCACACAAAAGTTCTGTAATACATTTATCTTATTTTTAAAGTCACTTTATGAACCCACCACTCCCCAATGCACACCCACAGCTTGCTAAACCCTGGTAGAAATACCTTTTGATTGGAAATGGGGCTAGGCTGATGACAACTATGTATTAAGACAAAGCAGAGGAAAGTTAGAAAAAAGTGAAAGGCTAAAGGCACAGACATACAAAAAAAAAAAACTCCCTCTGGGATTTAGGAATATATTTTACCTTTAAAAAATTCAATCAAAGACATCACAGAAAAAAAATACAACTGCATGAAAATATCTCTTATAAATGTAGATGCAAAAATCCTCAATAAAATACTAGCAATCTGAATCTGGCAATATATAAAGAGAACTATACATTATGACCAAGTAGGATTTGTAAGGAATGCAAGGTTGCTTTAATATATGAAAATCAATTTAATGTAATACACCATATCAATAAAACAGAAGCAAAACCACATGGTCATTTCAACAGATGCAGAAAAAGCATTTGTAAAATCCAATACCCTTTCAGGTTAAAGACACGCAACCTTGACAGAAGACATCTGAGAAAACCACAGCTAATATACTTAATGATGAAAGAATGGATGTTGTCTCCTCAGATTAGGAATGAGATAAGGATGTCTGCTCTTATCACTTCTATTCAACATTGTACTGGGGATTCTAACCAGGGAAATTAGGTAAGAAAATGAAATAAAAGTCATGTATATTAGACAGAAAGAAGTGAAATTATCTCTAATCACAGATAACTTAATCTTGTGTATAAAACTCCTAAGAAATCCATTAAAACTACTGGAACTAATAAATGAATTCTGCAAGGTTGCAAAATACAAAATCAATACACAAAAAATTATTGTATTTCTATATACTTGAAATGAAGAACCCAAAAATTTACATTGAAAAATAAAACACTTGTATTTACAAATTATTAGAATCTTAGATTATGGCCTAAAAGCTTTAGCTTGTGCTTCTAAAGATATTAGCAAGAAGTGAAAAGACAACCTACATAATTGGAGAAAATATTTGCAAACTGTACATCTGATAAGGGACTTATATCTAGAATACATAAGAAATTCCTATAGTTCAATAATTAAGATAAAATAATCCAATTTTAAAATGGGCAAAGGATCTCAATAAACATTTATCCAAAGAAGATATACAAATGACCAAGAAGCACAGGAAAAGATCCTCAGCATCATTAGCAGGGAAATACAAATCCAAACCATAATGATATACCACTTCCTACTTCGCTAGAAACAAGAACTCAGATGATAACAAGGGTTGGCAAGGTTGTAGAGAAACTGAAACTTCCATACACTGTTGGTGGGAATGTACAATATTACAGTCACTTTGGAAAACAGTCTGGTGTTGCCTCAAGACACTAAACATTAAATTACCATATGACTCAGCGATTTCACTCCTAGGTATATACCCAAGAGAAATAAAAATATATATCCACCAAATAACTTCTATACAAATGTTCATAGCAGCATTCTTCAAAATAGCCAAAAGGTGGAAATAACTCAAATATCTGTCAACTGATAAATAGATAAAACATGGTATATCCATGAAGTGGAATACTACTATTCAGTAGTATAAAGGAATACATGCCACAACGTGGATGATTCTTGAAAACATGCTAAGTTAAGAGAAATAAGCCAGTCACAAAAGGCACACAAAATAGGATTTCATTTATGTGAAATCCAGAATAAGAAAATTTAGAGGCAGAAAGTAGATACCGGTAAGTGGTCACCTACAGTTGGAGTGGGAGTAGGGTGGAATGTGGATTAACTGCTAGTGAGTACAGAGTTTCTTCTAGGGAGGGATTGAAATGTAAAATTGGGTAAAATAAATTTTAAAATTTCAAATATTTTTGCACTTACTACCTTTATTATGAAACAATACATATAGGTTGGCACTTTAAAAACCATGGTAACTAAAGTAGCAGCTCAAGCACTATAGGGCTAGCACCCATCCTGTTAATGTGAACCTGTCTGGCTACCAGACATGGACATAGGTACATTTGATTATGACACATCCTGAGGACAATCAGTGTTATGAGGATTAAAATGACACCATGTGGTTTGTGGGCCAGCAAGAAAGGCAAAGAGGCAGAAGATGTCTGACACTTCGTACTAAACCCTTACTCACCTTTTCCCTATAAATCTCTGCTGCTCAGTGGCCCTGGTGGTGAAGGCAACATGCTCTGCTTTAGTAAAATTGCAGCCAAGCAGGAAATTAGTGTGATGTAGGATAAACACTTAATGAGCCTATAGGACTGATTCAGCATTGAGAGAGCAATATTGCCAGACATCTCTGTATATACACATTTGCTCACATACACACTTTCATTCATTGCTTCTCCATGACTTGTTGGCTCACATCAGGCTGGGACCAGTGCAGCATCTGTGACTACCTTGCCTCCCTGCTTTGTGCACAAAAACTGCAAGGAAATCTTAGGCCATGAGTAGGTTTAGAAACTCTTGTCATTTCCAGGTTGTGCCTCCACCAGAGTACAGCTATGGAATTGGCTCTCCCTGATGAAAGAATTACATTTTAGCACCAACTGTGGCCAAATTTGTCAGAAATGAAACCTCCTGTCCACAGAACATATCTAGTGTGCATTGATCTGCTCCCTAGTGGCAAAAAAAAGAAACACATTCAAAACTCAAGATGTAAGCTTGGTCTTAATTAAAGGCAATATAGCACATTATGTCAGCAGCCATTAAAAAATCAAAGGGAGGAATTGAATTTGCCTGTCAATCAGATACAGCTTAATGCAGTCTTGGAAATAGATACCACTCCTACTGTACAGGCCAGCAGGGGGCTGACTCCTGAGGTTTTTTAATGATTGATTGCTTCAGTGAATAAAAAAAGCTGATCTCCCTTCCTAACTCCTCAGTGACATTCTCCAGGGTTTATCCTCTAGCACATTAAGTGAAAGACTGGGGTTGGGGTGATCTTTGGGCCTCTTAAGATATACTATTAGTTAATTTATGTTCCTTCCAGATAAAGACCTATTTCAGGTCCTTAGAAAAGCACCCTTCTTCCTATATGAGCTTGCTCATGCACTTGTATGCATTCCTTCTGCATCATTCTCTCTATTTCTCCTTCCTTTCAGCACTCACTTCATGCACATACACACCTTAGTGCAGAGAATACATCTAACTAAATGAGCCATTTGGGAGGGGGATGGGTAAGTAAGAAGAACGAGAAATGTACAAGTTTAGTAGACAACCCTTACCAATTTGTAGAGACAACACAGAGTAAATCCAAATGCCCCTTCCCTACCCAACCCACCCTGTGATTTTCAGCAGGGCTAGTCTTAAACTTACTTAGAGTTATAAGGCAATTGTCTATAACGATATGATTTGTGAGGTATGAAACAGGCCCCTCTGTTCAAAACCATCTCTCCTACTAGCAAAGCAATCTGAAATTCCTCCCATTGAATGCACTCATTAAGGCCCTCCTTAAGGAGACTTGTGTGCTGTTAGGGGGCAATTTAATATGTTTTCTAACTGTCCCATCACCACCAAGCAAAGCCTTGAGAGAAAGGGGAGAAGCACAGGTGAGCTCTGTGGAAAGCCCAGATAAATCTAGAGTTTAAGGTCAGGAGAACAGGCCCAAGTGGAACTCCATAGAGGGAGATCAAATTGAGCCAGGAACAGCTGGGGGTACTGGGTGTCCAGATTTTCCATCATAGGATACGGAAATTGGGACATCACACATGAAATTTGGAATGGGGTGGCAGTGGCAGAAACAGTATGATTGCCCCATCCCTTCTGTGACCAGCTGCAGCATTTCCCCTAGTCTCCTGGGATGGAGAAGGAAATGCATTTGGGTTCTCTGCTTACTTATTTATTTGTTCATTTTTACATTAACACAGTGAGTTCACACTTATGCTTCAACTCAGATAGATGGTTTCATTGAGACATTAATCACACATTCTGAGATCTAGCTCCCCTTGCCCAGTAATCACAGAGCTATAGTCTGAGGGCCAGGCAAGCAAACCAGACCACACTTCTTGAATGAAATAGGCTATCTTTACCTTATAGAGCCTCCAGCTCCTCTCTAGTTGTAGACCCTGTTTCTCAAGTTCTTAAAGCTATGACAGGGAAGGATTTCCCTGATTTACTGCACTCTTCACCAAGAGCTCTTTGGGAATAGATGATCATTTACTATGTTCCAACCCACTGAACTGTGTGGCCCAGATGACAATCTACACATGAGCACAGAGAAGGGCCACAGGGAAATGGCTGTATTGGCAGTGGCCACTGACCCAGCCCCTATTGGTATGAAGGCCAAGGGTCCCTGAGACCAAAGGCCCATCGTTGATTGGCTGCCAAAGGGGGCATCTGGATCCAGCTATCTGCCCCTCACCTTGTCCCTATCCTCCTTCAACCCTCTCACAGCATCCCTCAAGCTTACTTAGACTTTGATTGTTGACCTTCCTGAGCCAGATTCAGAGAAGATTTGTTAAAATGGAGGCTGGAGAAGCTTGATTTCAGGCTCCTCCCTCTGTAGACATCCACAGGCTCCCTTTTCTTCTTCTTGACAAAAAAATCCTTGAAGGCTTTAAATTTGGATTTCTTCTTTCCTGGAAGTTATAAATGAAAGTGAGACAATGTGATGGTGGAAGAGAAAACAGGGTCTTCATGACATGAAGGACTGTGATTCCAGTTGCCCTGTACATCTGGGCCCTTGCTCCCATGGACCACAGCAAAATTCATTTCATTTGTTCTCTTCTTAATACTCAGTAACAAAGTATTCAAGTTGCTGGTGAGAGCAGAAGCTCAGTTTCCAGCTTGTGTGTGGTATTTGGGCAGCCTCTATTCAGGCCCAACTCACCAGACCTTCACTTTTCTCTCAGTGTCAACTATTAATATACACCTGCTTTCTTCCCCTAAGAAGTTGATTCATATGCAGCAATTATTGAGCCAACACATGCACTTGTTACCCCCAAACTCCACCCCAGTGGCTGGGGTCATCAGTCCAGTTGGGAAGTTAAGCATCCACATGTGGAATCCAAGTAGGAGTTAGTACTGCCCAGGGTTTCATGACCCTTGGAAATCTATGTGGGAGCTGATATTGCTGAGCCTGTGTGCTGAAAGAATGCAAACCCAAAGAGTGAATATAGTCAGCTGGTATATTCAGGAAAGAGTTCCTTGAAGAAGGAATTAATGAACAAGGGAGAGGGCTGGGAATCAGAAACAAGAAAAGTTGTCTGTGCAAAAGGCATGACAAAATTGGATACCACAGGGTTTTATAAGGGGCATGCGTGTGTGCATGTATGTGTATTACGTGCATTGTGTGTGTTCAATTACTGCTTGTTGGTTTGGATTATCTATAGGGCTGCTGCCCTCTGCACATGCAGATAAGTGAAACGTTGATTTATATATAATATAATGACTACTAGGACAGCAGTGAGGAATGTGAGCTTTAAATGCTCCTAAGGCTCTGATTGGGATTTCTTTAGTTTCCTAGTAAGCACATATGTCTTTATCGAAGCTCCATAGAAGAGAGGAAGGGGAAGGAGAGTTCGTGCTACACTCTTCAGAAGGAAAGAATTAGCTCTTATTGTTTTCACATGCAATGATTTACCAACTGCGGTGTCTCATTGCAATTCCCAATAGTTGGGTCATTGGAACGCCTTTTGCCAGCACAGCAATGTTACTGGCAGTAAAGGACCCAGCAAGGAAGTCAGTTATCAGTAGGGCTGGCATTACAAAGGCTTAGTGATACAATGGCAAGCACCTCCCAAAAGCCAGAAAACTCTGGAATTCTTGGCTTGGATCTGCTGTCACTTAGCTCTGTGACCTTGGGCAAATCACTCAGCCCCTCTGGCATTCAGCAGGAAAATGAGGGGATCACACTAATCAGCATCTTCCAAAGTATGTTCAGAGGGACTCTCAGGGATCTTTCATACAACACTCAGGGACTGTTGCATGAAAAGTGGATCTGCAGTCCAGTCAACCCAAGAGACACTGGATTAGACAAAGTTTAGGGGGTCTGCTTTCTAGCAAGACTTTCCTGAAACTTCAACATGTCTATGTGTGTGGTGAAGCTCTAAGAAACTGGACAACAATATTGTCTCCCAAATACGTGTTAGTAGAATGCCTGGAAAAACACACTACAGAAATGCTGGACTAGAGCTCTTTCTATTTCTGCAGTGGTGTGACCTACTTGTGTACTGATTACTCCTTGGCCTGCCTATTAGAAAGGTTTCTAACCTTCAAGGCTTGCCTTAAGTCCTGTTGCCCACCACTCACTATAATTCATGCTTCTCTCTGCGCATCTAAAACTTGAGTATTGGCACAAGTTTTGCATCTGAACGCTCTCTAGTCTGCACACTGATTCATCCATTGATCTATTCAACAAATACTTATTAAGATCAAGCACTTACTACATTTGGGGTATCATGCAAAAGGAATAAGATATAGTTCTATGTCTTAGCTACTATCCCCCCATCAAAGCTGTAGGTAGGCCCTCATTAGCATCCTGTTAGCAATTGGCACAATGCAAGGCAAGCTGTAATTAATACTCAAGAGACAACTGAGTCCATCTAGGGGTACAAGAGCACCAACAGTTTGTCACTTCCCTTACACTGAGATCACTGAGCAGAGTCATCCTTAAGCATCCTATAATTTAAACACTGGGGTTGATTTAAATTGTAAATAATGTAGGTAAAGAGCTTAGCATAATATCTGGTGTATAGCAAGTGCTAGTAAATTTGAGCTAGTATCAGGTAATCAATAATAACTTGTTTATTAACACTAGATTCAATTCTATCTAATCTATAGATAAACGGAAGCAGCCCCACATTTATTACTCAATAGTGAGCTTTAAAATATACATGATTAGCTCTGGCTGGTGTGGCTCAGTGGATTGAGTGCTGGTCTGCAAAGCAAAGGGTTGGCAGTTCGATTCCAGGTCAGGGCACATGCCTGGGTTGCAGGCCAGGTCCCCAGTAGGGTGCGCATGAGAGGCAACCACACATTGATGTTTCTCTCCCTGTCTTTCTCCCTCTCTTCCCCTCTCTAAAAATAAATGAAATCTTTACTAAAATAAAAGGGTCATAAAGTAATATTATTAAAAATAAAATAAAATATACATGATTAGAGAAAAGGGAGCTACCATGGGGAAGGGCAATGAAAAAGATTGTAGCCCTGGTTGGTGTGGCTCAACTGTTTGGAGCGTCATCCCCTACATAGACCAAAATGTCACATGTTTGATTCCTGGTCAGGGCATGTAGTACAAGGCAACTGACCAATGTCTCTGTCTCACATCAACGTTTCTCTTTCCCCCTTCTCTCTCTAAGAGCAATGGGACAAAATACCCTTGGGTGAAGATTTTTAAAAAAGACTGTAGGACTGTTTGCTTGGTCACTGCTTCTTAAGTAATTTCAGTTTTGTATGACTTGGGCAATTGTCATTTACTAGGAGGTGTCTATATAGGGTCATGGTTAGGATGAACTTGGTAATTTTACCTAGAGATATGAAGAATAAAACATGAAGATACAACAAAAAAGACATATTTTTCCAAGTTTGCTTCTTTAATTTTCTACAAAAATTAAACTAATTTCTATGACAATAAAATTAAACTATTTAAAATGTTTGACCTCATAGAACTACTATGAGGATTCAGTGTGAAAGGGCTGGCTCTAAAATAATCTATATTTTGTTCTCTGGTCTTCTCTCTTAATCTCCCCATCCCAAAATGATTTCTCAAATATATGAAATAGTGAGATTTTTGTGTAAAACCCTCATTACTATACTATACTAATTACTGTAATTAGTTTTTTACTGGAAAAATTGTTACTAAGTGGATCTCTGGGGAAAATGCTCTTATTTGTAGTTTTGCCTATTTTTGTGTTGTAAATACTCCCACCTCAGTCACCTTCAAGCCACCAACATGACATTTGGGAAGAGATATACAGTGTCTCAAGCCAGTGTCAGTCAGGTCCAACATACCAGTAACTAATTCCTGCCCAGTGAGGACAAATTAGGAAGTGTCCCTTCACAAACAGGAAGGAGAAGGAGCATGCTATACTTTAACCCTTTGCAGGCATTGCCATTTTTCAAATGGAATTGATATGGTTGATTATTTTTTATAAAGATTTTATTTATTTATTTTTAGAGAGAGAGGAAGGGAGGGAGAGAGGGACAGAAACATCAATGTGTGGTTGCCTCTTAAATGCCCCCTACTGGGGACCTGGCCTGCAACCCAGGCATATGCCCTGACTGGGACTTGAACCGGCAACTTTTTAGTTCACAGGCCTGCACTCAATCCACTGAGCCACACCAGCCAGGGCTGACTCATTAATTCTGGACAGGGAGATTTCTTTGCAGCCTTTGGAAATGGGAGCAACTTTATGCTCAAGGTGTTTGGTAACAGTGATTCTTGCCTCTCTTGCTTCAAAATGCCAGAATGGAAGAGACAAGGACAAAGCTGGAGGACTAGGAGTTGCAAGCCTGCTTCTCATAAACCAGCAAAGACATTTGTCACACAATCTATAAACACTTCATAACTGAATCAAAGCACTTCTAATAAACTTTTCAGGCTGCAGAACTGCATGTACCTGCCATTACCATTGTATGAGCAAACAAAAGTATGCATTAACATATTTTTATGTTCCTAAATTAACAAAATGACTAGAGACTCTAGAACTGTAAGTGGTACTAAAAATTAAGTATGCATATATTCTAATTTCCCCCCAATTTTCCATTTTTACTGGGCAGAAACAACTAATTTTCCCAGAAGGATTCAAAGTGCCTTAAGCCATGTGTGTCTCTTTAAATCATGGGCATTAGAAGGAAAAGAATGTTTCCATTCCTCCCTGTGGGGTAGCTCTGAGTATGGTGGTGGTATAGCTTCATTGATGGGGAGTTAGGGGGCACCAAGAGATAATAACCATCACACATGGTAGGTTGGCTGCTCATTGATCTACAGCAGTGACTTAGAAGCTGGAGACAACCTTACTGAGCATCCCATTGCTAGACAGCCAATGTCAGCTGCAAGATTCCAAGTCTTCAGCCTACTCTGGATTAGGAGACCTCCTTGCCCCTAACCATATCAGACACCATGTATGGAGATGAGCCCTGAAAGTGAGCTACAAAGTTGGGAACTGTCCATATGCTATGTTATTTTTGAAATCCTAATGGAATCCAAAAGAGATGCAATGTATTCAAGTGTATAAATTGGCCTTTCAAGCTCTCTTTGTAAAGTGGTGCCTTTAAATAGCCAGCAGCTAAGTCCTGTGTGGGCTGGTTTCAAGAGCTGCCAAAAGTGTAAAGGGCAGATAGATGTATACAGCAGGTTTGGGTCAAAACCCACATTTGTATCCAGCAATGTTTATTTAGATCACCTATACACTGCATACCTTATATCCCACAAGGTACAGCAGTGGTGGTCAGTGAGCTGACAGCTGAGAGCTGACAGCTGCCTGGACTTCTCCTATAACAAAGCCATTCATCTCCCTGTCCAAACCCAAGGACTATGTATTCCTAAACAGACAGTAGCTTTCAACATCCTCATCCATGAGGATCTGCAGTGTGTCACATGCCAGAAAATGGCCCATGGTGGGCAGGTTTCCCCCAAGAAAAGAAAACACCATTAAATCCAGTGATGTAAATCATTGCTGTTGGGTTGTGCATTTGCTTATTCACCATGCACACAGGCAGGCTATGAAAGTTGAACTTAGCTTTAAAAATGCATCACATAATGATGACCTTGTTCTCTTGTACTGCTGCTTGGAAAGAAAACATTTCTAACTGGCCTTTCATCCCTTCAACCTCCCAACCACCACTTTAGTCTCTGGCTAACAATGAGTAATATTAAAAATTACTCAAATGTTTGGTCTTTTAAAAGATCTTAGAAACAGAGAAAAGACATTTCCTTACCTCCACTCGTCACCAAGCTGGGCCGAATTGGCATCTTCTTTTGCAGCCATCTATCTAGCTCATATTCAAAAAGATAGGTCAGTTGGTTTAGTGGTTGGGGTTGCCTAGATGAGGAGGCCTGTCATTCATTCATGTATTAATTCATTAATTAAATATTTTGAGTGTCTAATCACTCTCTCTGAGGATAATACTAAACAATGATGACACAGAGGTGAAGACCCAATCCCTTCCCTCAAAGATACATGCACCAGGCTCACTATTCCCTGCCCCTGAAGGTGTGATCAGTGAAATCAGGCCTCCAGGAAGCCACAAAAAGGCTCCCTCTCTCTGCCCTTCCATACCAAATCTTCTTCACCACACACGACTAAAAAAAAAAAAAAAACCTCAGCAAAAATGAAAGAACAACTAGTAAACTGTTATATGCAGTTCTGGCTTTGAGTTCAATATCTCACTTTATGTCTTAGGTTCTTTTTGTCCCTTTTTTGAAGTCAATAAAATTTATCGTTGCTTAGTGACTTTTGCATCCCTTTCTGTCACTCATGGACACCTATCACTCATGTAGCTGGCACCATAATTAAGGCAATAGATACACATCTGAGTAAGTTTTGCAACAAGAAATTTTTTGTAAATTGAATCCTATTTAACTGAAGCCTATTAAAGGTGGCATTTTTTGTTTCTAGCTCCTCTTTATTATTGGTTAAATTTGGATTACTAGCTACAGTAAAACTTTGGTTGAATCTCTCCGATAATAGGCTGCTCTGATTTTTCTAACTAAGCAGAAATGCTTTCCCTGCTTAGTATGGAGGACTTGATAACCATCCCCAAAGAATATTGCAGGGCCTCAGACAAACCCTTTGACTATTGGATTGGAAATGAAAGCAAAGAGTTTGGAAGACTAAAAAGTAAATGTGGACTGAGCCTACTGTAAGAAATTTGATATGAACTTATTTGCTTGTGGCTTGATTATCTTTCTGGATTGGTTAATTCTTGGTTGTTAAACACAGTAAACATGTCTAGTTCTAGTTATCAAGATTTTATTGGGTTACTTACCCTCATCACTGGTATCCAGAACTTCCACACTGCCAGAAGATTCACTTAGTGATTCATCTATAACAGGATCACTAAAATAAAATGTAGAGTAAAAAAGCAAAACATCAGCTTTTGATATCTACAATATAGCACAACCATTTTACCCTACCCATTATCCTGGGTATTTAGAACACCAATTCTAAATTCTGGGTAATTGGTATTTAGAACACCAATTTTCAACTGGTGTACCACAAGAATTTTGAAGACATGTGATACCTGACTAGTTATCAGGGACACTGACCTCTTTTCCCTAAGACTGTAAAATAAAAAAATGACAACAGCCAACACAACGATAGCTATCTGGTGTGAATGGCCTATCTTCAACTATATATATATATATATACACACACACATATATATATAGGTCACATAATAGAGTTGCATTGTATTGATCATGCTGCATAATAAGGTTGTGTCTGATTGGTTAACTTTTAGTACCAGAAATCCTTATATAGAAGTAAAGGCACCTGTGTTTTTTTTTTAAAGTCACTTTGGAGCAAAAAGGATAGGTCATTACTATTATTATTTTTTTGTAAACCAATCAAAATTATACCTACTTTTTGTCAGATTGGCAAAAAATATAATATTTTTGGTGTGCTGAAGAATTTTAGTAATTCATTTATGTGAGATGAAAATTGCTGAGTTAGAGTCTTAAAAAAGAATTATCTTTCCTTTAAAAAAGGCAATGATTCCATTTAAATGAAATGTCCAGAATAGATAAATACATAGTTACAGAAAGTGTTCTACTTTTCGCTGGGGAGATAGGTTTTCTTTTTGTTTTTTGTGGGGGAAGGTGGTGAGTGATAGTACACGGATTCTTTTTGAGGTGATGAAAATGTTCTAAAATTAATTGTGGTGATGGTTATATAAATCTTTAAATATATTAAAAGGCATCAAATTTTATACTTTAAATGGATTAATTGTATAGTATGTGAATTATATCTCAATAAAGCTGTTACTCCCACTGCCCCCCCCAAAAAAAAAACAAATGTGAAAAATCCTGATCCATTACTTTGTGTTGGAACCCATTCCTTTTGGGGGTGTGCCCAGGGAGACAAAATTGTATTGATAAGCCATCAAAGATCATGGCATTTAGCCGTAGCTGGTGTGGCTCAGTGGAGTGAGTGCTGGCCTGTGAACTGGAAGGTTGCCAGTTTAATTCCCGGTCAGGGCACATGCCTCAGTTGTGGGGCCAGGTCTCCAGTTGGGGGCAATCGAGAGGCAACCACTCATTGCTGTTTCTCTCCCTCCCTTCCATTATCTCTAGAAATAAATAAATAAAATCTATAAAAAGAAAAAGAAATACAAATAGCTAATAACCAAATAAGAAGGCATAGTCCCATTCATAATTAAAGAAATGTAAATCAAAATATCAAGTTAACATTTTCACCTATCAGGTTTTCAAAAAAGTTTTAACTTTGGTGATGTTCCATTGCTGACATGGATGGGAAAAATAAACACTCTCATATATGATGGAGTTTGAATTGCTTTGTGAAGAGCAATTTTGCAATATCAAAATGTTATAAAAATGCACATACCTTCTGATCCAGTAGCATCATCACTGCTAGAACTTTACCCCATAGATATATATTCACACTTGTACACAAAAACATACGTAAAAATGCGCTTCACAGCGTTGTTTTAGGAAACAACCAAAATGACCATCAAAAGGATATTTCCCTCATGACTGATACTGTGTCATGGGAGAATTATCTCTCTCCTTATGCTGTTTTCCATTATTGCAGATAATCAATTCAAAATCAACTGTAAATTTTCAATTCCTTCTGGCAAAAGTTAAGAATGTCAAGTCTAGGGGAGCCTGTCAGCTGATATTCAAACCTTTATAAACCAATGCTGACATTTTCATGAGAGTTTGATCAGGGATCTGATGGGCACCATAACCCAGAAAACGGGTGTTGTATTCATACACAACAGGAGGGCTATAGATAAACAAGCACCATCAAGTGGGATTAAGCAGATTCTGGAGCACCATCCCTCCAAGATCTTATCTGCTCCCAGACATAGTCAAACTGGATAATGGATGGGCTCCAGGTCCATATGTGCTTCTATCTATAGTCATAAGCCCCCTGATTCACTCCTGGAGGTACAAAAGAGTGACCACAGGTTCTGAGGTAAAGATGAACTTAAGAGGTCACCCACAGAGAGTGACTGTGGCCTTGGAAAGCAAAAGCTTCCAAACTACAATGAAAGCTGACAGGGCCCTGGTGTCAGGATGACAAGTCCTATGGTCCCCCATGGTGTGTGCTATTTCTCACTGCAATGAGTAGTAAACCCAGCTTGTTCGACAAGTGTGTTCCTGGTGCGCTTTGGCTGAAAGATAGACACTTTGTTAAAGTCATTTAAACTCTATCAGCTAACATCACAATTCTGCCTGAAGATGACTTAGCCCCAGGCCCACACAATGCTCACTAATATACACACATATACACACACATTCCATCTGGAGATCTGAAAGAAACACAGGCATAGGGAAATTCAGAAGGCCCTCAACAATTCAGAGGGAGAACATAAAAATTCTTTGGACCATCACTGGTGAGTTTCTGGGCCATCTTAATAAATTTAGACCATCTCCCTGCCACTATGGAAGGCTTCTTAGACACTGGGGAAATAAACGATCTCTGAGCCTTAGAGAAGGATGTGGAAAAGGAGCCTGTTTTCCGAAATACCAGGCCACAGCAAGCTAACATTTTCCTCGATCCATCACTGTCAGGAGTAGAAGGGAAACAACAACCGAAGAGGGTGGGGCAAAAGTGGGTTTACAGTTGTTCATAAGGTAAATACAATAATGAATAAATAATAGTATAAGAGTAAACTGTGTTTCATGTACTCAAAATTATAAGCCTACTTTTTCCGCACCCTATAGGAAACACTAACGGGAAAACAAAGAAAGAAGGTGTCTTGGCAGCATATGAATCGCTGGACCACTAATAGAATTATTCAATTTAATCATCATTCCATTCCAATTTAATCATCGTTCCTTGATTTTAGGCTGTCTCAAATTCTTTGTGGTATACTTGCCTTATTTCCCCAACTGAATCCTAGAGCACAGAGGACAGCACCACCATCTATTGAGTTGTCTCCCCTTCTAAACAAACAAACCGATGACCACAAAAATACACACAAACCTCCCCTTGGTTGAAATCTTTTTCCCGTTACCACCCCATTTCTATGCACCACTTTAAAACAAAATTCAAGAGTTATCTATACTTACTACCTTTATGTCCTCACTTTTTATTCTCCTGAGCTCTTTCAAATCAGGCTTCCAAATAGAATGACTTCCAAACCACGCCAGCAGAGCTGCTTGGATTTACTGGACATCCAAGCAGCATCTGACCGTCCCTGCTTTTGAATAGCTTTATCACGTGTCTTTATCACCAACACTACATTCCTATAATTTTCCTCATTGGCTGTTTCTTCTCAGCCTCCTTTGTTGAATCTTTCTCCTCTGCACTGAATTTGAAAGGTTGTAGCACTTGAGGGTTCTGTCATAGGCCTTCTCGTTTATCTACAATTGTTTCTGAGAATGGTGGAATTAGATAAAAATATTACTATGAGCCACATATGCAACTTTTAATTTTCTAGTAGCCACATTTTAAAAAGCAAAAAGAAGCAGGAGATGTTACTTTTAATAATATTTTCTTTAACTCAATAGAACCAAATTATTCTCATTTCAGCATGTAATCATTATAAAAATCATATAAATGAGATTTTATATTCTCTTTTATACTAAGTCTTTGAAATCTGGTTTGTATTTTGCATAGCACATCTCAATTTTGGCTGGCCACATTTAAAGTGCTCAACAGACACGTGTGGCTAGTAGCTACCATATCCCAGATGATCTCATTCAGGCTTTAAATATTATTGACATTCTGGACTCTAAATTCTCTGTAACAAGACTGGACCTCTTCTCAGAAATCCATTTTC